ATTCTATGCAAGTAGAGAATTCATCACCATATGAATTACAGAAATAGACTGGAATTTAACATGAAATCTAGAAGACAGAAACAGATCTATCCCTGAAATTCTCCAGATGTGTTCGGTTATGGTTACAACAGCAATTCATCAAACCAATATGATTGATACTGATGAAGAACTCAGACAGACTACACTGAACTAAGTAGATTAATGGTGTGATACAGTATGTGGCAGCTTTATATATTACAAAATAACAAGGATGTTGCTTTTTTTAAAAAAATTCTCTAACGTGTGTCTATAAAATGAAGTGGTTGAGTCCTGTCCCAAGTTTGGAATCTGTTTAAAGATAACATTGGGACCTTCAAGAAGGATTAAGCTCCTTATAATCTTTTCCCACTATTTTCCTAATTACATTTAGCCAAAATAAAAACTTTCTATTTTGTTTAGATAAAGAAAACATTATTTATGAAGAGTTCTATTCAATACTTCACATGGTCAGGGAGAAACTGCACTTCTTATTCTACAATTTAAATGGAATCACAACCACTGCTCAGTTTATGTTTACTTTAATCTTCATTGCAAGCAACATTTGTCACTTGAGCTATAAACATTTAATATTAAAGAGATGAAATGTTAAATGTGATGTATTTTTTGCTACAGGAAATAAATAATTAAAAAACCCAAAATTAGCAGGCCGTGTATTTCAAACAATTACACTGTGTCTTTATATCTTTTATTTATCCTTATTTATCTTTATATCTTTTATTTATCCTATGGCTTATGGTTTAAAAGGCAAAATAATAGAGTAGCATCCCACTACAACAGTTAATTGACAACAACAGAAGATCAATACACAATGAGCATTTTCACTCAGATTGTCTGAAGCAATGAATCTAAAGTCTTGATATTCAAAGGCATTAATCTTTTGAGAATCTTGGCTAGTTCATATTGCAAAAAATAATGATTCCCCTGTTTCTTAAGAAGTTAACAGAGGAGAGACTTTTTATGCAAAATCCTCAAACAGGGACTTATTTGCTTAAAAGTTGACATTTTACAACCATTAATGAAGTCAGAGGTCAAGGTGGCAGAAGCGAAAATGCTTGCTCTGTGAGAACTTTCATTGACCTGTTACCTCTTACTGGAGAATGGTTGTCACTAGGCAGAATGGCTCATAAGACCATAAAACAGACTACAACATTTTTATATTGACTGCCAGTGGCTTGCCAAAGGTTCACAGAGGGGTCTTTCTTGTCTGCACATTTCAGGAAATAAAACTTGGACATAAGCAGTAGTCTTTTCCAAAGTGTAACTCACTCCATAGTGTAAAATAAATCATAGTATGGTCGAAGGAGCAAGAATGATCTGAAAAGCAACATAAACATTATTTTCCAAATAAACTAGACGTCTAAGAGGCTAACTTGTGTTAACAGCAGTGCTTAGATTTCATGCAGTTGAGATCACCAAACATGAATAAGCATGTATATCTTTCATCCTAAAACCATAAGCAGAAATAAGACATGAATCAAACACTTGGTAGGGCATATGCTACATTCTTCTCACAATTGTATCACCTCAAGATGCATGTGGTGGTTCTTGTCTGACAGTAGAAGCAGTTTAAACATTTCATTAGAGCTGAAAAACATACTCCTCAAATAAAAATATCTGCAATGTACATATGGGCATAGGAATCTGTTTATACTATGTCAGATTATTTGTCTATGTAGTCCAGCACTTTCAATTCTAACTGATAGCAGAATCACCTGCTACTTTTAACTGAGAATGCCAATGAGTCATTCACATAGCAGAACAGATAAAGTAGCCATAGAGAACATTTGAAAAACCAATTTGCTATTAAAATGTTTAGTGCATCTGAGTCATGTGTGTGTATGAGACAGAGCTTGAAATTGTCCTTTTAAGAAAAATGAACAGAATGACATGCTGAAACCATTTCGAGACAAACAGTTGAAGGATCATGTATAGCAGGGGTCCTCAAACTAAGGCCTGGGGGCCAAATGCGGCCCTCCAAGGCCATTTACCCAGCCCTCGCTCAGGGTCACCCTAAGTCTGAAACAACTTGAAAGCACAACACAACAATAACAATCCTATATCATCAGCCAAAAGCAGGTCCACACTTCCCACTGAAATAATAATAAGTTTATATTTGGTAAAATTGTTCTCCATTTTAATTATTGTATTGTTTTAAAGTGATTTTTGCAGTACAAATAAAATATGTGCAGTGTGCAAAGAAATTAATTCATTTTTTCAAGTTATACTCTGGCCCTCCAACAGTTTGAGGGACTGTGACCTGGCCCTCTGTTTAAAAAGTTTGTGGACCCCTGATGTATAGTCTAGAAAAGGCATCCTCAAACTGCGGCCTCCAACTCCCAGAAGCCCTAACAAGCTTGTTCAATTGTCAGGAATTCTGGGAGGCCACAGTTTGAGGATGCCTGGTCTAGAACTTACCATCCCAGTTATGGATGAATTCTAGATGGCATTATTTCTTGCCAACAGTCCATGGCACTGTTTTTGCTACAATAAACAATAAACATATATTTTGTGTATTGGTTGAGCATGTCTGTTTTCCTTTTAAGAGATGAGACTAACAGCATTATCAGCAACCATAGATTTTCCTTAGCCTTGATGTAGTATATTGAAGGTATTTACTGTCTGATGTTATAAAGAGAATTTAATTTATATGTATTATACACTTCATTATTTTCCCTCTCAACTCTTTCATTTCCACACAAAAAAGTAATACTCTTTTTCTGGTATGTGATATGTGGCAAGAAACTATGGTTGCCACAGTTTTTTTTTTAAAAAAGGAAATTGTTTAGCCTAGCATACTTAGGATGCAAATAGACAGAGATCTTCCTTGTTGTTCGGATGGAAAGGATAGAAGGAGAAAGAGAGATAATGCCAAAAGCAATACAGTGACAACAGAAAATGAAACTTTTCAGATAAGAAAGAAAAGGAATCCTCTTCAACAACACCAGGAAGTCAGACCGAACAAAGGGGACAACCTCGATCTTCATGCCCGTGTTTTTAATTTTCGCACGTTTTTTTTCTTTTTCTTTTCTTTTCTTCCCTTCTCTTACTTGTTCAATTTCCTCGGACCCTTCAGCCCTTATCCCTCATCCTGTCCCCTTTTCCACTGCATCTTACCCCTCTACCCGGTCCCACTATCCTATCTATTCCTATTTTTATCTCTATCCTCCCTATCTATTTTAACATGTAATAAGAAAATCTTTTTTTAAAAAAGAGATCTTCCTTATTTAGCCTGCAACTCCAACTGAGAATATATAAGTTTACAGTCAGATAAATCTAATGCAACTAATGGGCTTTTGTGGAATATCCCAAATACAAAAGCTTAAGATCATTCTTCGATCAATCAACATGTACTTTACCATTTTCTAAAAGTAGAACTAGAGAAGGAGAAAGAAGAGAAAAAGAAATGAAAAAGATACAAAAAAAGTGGAAGACTAGAACATCTTAAACAACTTTGGTCAAAATTAGGTACTTCATTACTAGTTCCCCAAATCTCAATGGAAAATAGAGATGCCTTATAAGAAATCATTGAGGAATATCAGCCCCCTTCCACACAACTAAATAAAATCCCACATTATCTGCCTTGAACTGGAATATACTGCAGTGTGGACTCAGATAACCCAATTCAAAGCAGATATTGTAGGATTTTCTGCCTTGATATTCTGGGTTATATAGCTGTGTGGAAGGGCCCCATGTCTATATTATTCTTTCAATTTGCTTCTCTTCTTTACAAGCTCTAGTAATAAAATAAATGTAAGAGTTCTATATATAGTGGTCCAGTATATTACTTCCTCTTTTTTCCTGATTACTTTCAAATGTCAGGAGGAAGAGCTTAATTGGTCAACTTTTTCATTTCATTCTCATAGTCTTAAACCTACCAGGCACAATTTTCCATGATCCTTCCATTCACCCACAGTTGCAATGCAAGAAGCAAATAGAACAACAACACAGTATCTTCAACTTGCAGGTAGTTGACTGCTCCCAACACAGTGTCAAAAACTCTAGAAAGGGCATATTTAGCCTTGCATTTAAGAAGGATGGCAGAAGTATAGTGTATAAATAGGAATGTCAGTATGATCTAAACAATAAAATACAGTATTGTAAACTGAAAAGAACATAAATGGATCATTCTAATTGTATGGTTTTCCTCTCATGTTCTGGGTCCATGTAGCTCCTTGGAAATCACAGTATAGATACAGACATCAACAATGATTGTAGGATACACTGATTTCAACATGTCTATCATCTCAACTCTCATAATCATTAGATTATTTGAATACAGACTTCTTAGTCACACAATAGCATTTAGCTGATTAGTATCCTCCTAACAGGAATTGGCCATAAGTTTATGAGCCATCTTCCAGTAGTACTTTTAGTACTTTAAATGGTTTTCATTAGTTCCATGGGTGCTCAATCTGCTCATTTCTTTGATGTGGATAACACTTTTATTTTGTCAGGACATTTCCAAAATCAAGTCAACATTACATTACATGACTAATAATAATTGGGCATAAGATAGCCACCAGTGAAAGTTTGGCAGCTGCTGAGCATGATTTTTAAAATCATTTTGAGACTAGTATCAACTATCATGGATATATGACTATTTTCAGTTTCCACAAATATCAGTTATTATCCCATGCAGTCTCAGAAGAAAAATAACCAGAGCAGCTAATGTGAACTTATATTAATGCATTCCCTAGACATCTCTCTCTCTCTGTGTGTGTGTGTGTATGAGACAGAGAGAGTGATTGCTGACAGAGCACTTTGCAACAGTGTAAGAGCTACAGACCAGTAGTAAGCTCAGACTATTTTTACCTGCAACCATGCTGCAATAAAGTAGCATCTTCATTCAATCGATAAAAGGTTACTTACTTAACATTTTCTCTAGCATATTTGGATGGCTAGCCATTAGATCATTTTCTGAAAAATAGCATGGTTAATGAATGGAGAGAACAGTTACATACCTTCAGGGAGAATCTGCCCAATAACAATAATCCATTAGGAAATGACAATATCCTCTGATCTATTGTCGGAAAAGCAGGGACTTGATGGGGAGTTTTATTCCTTCTCTTCAGTACTCCAGAAGAAAATGAGCACCATTTGGATATTTCTCAAGCTGTGACACCTCTCGAGATCCCTGGTTGCATTCTGTTTTCCAGAGGACAGCAATCTGATGTTCCAGTGAGCATACACAGTGAAGGCAAATTGAAAAAGCTTGAGATAAATTAGGGATGTCTAAGTTAAAATTGTCTCTGCTCCTGACTCTCTCTCTTTCTCTCTCTCTCTCTCATCTGCAGTCTGAAAGTCTGTTTTGCTGTGGAAAAGCTAGATGGCAGGCTGCCTCAGTGAGTTTTTCTTAAGGCACAGACAGCATTTTCGATGAAGAATTTCTCCCATTATCTATGCTAAAGTAACTGAAGTCTTGTTTTGAAAGTCACTGGTCAAATGTTATTCATTTAATTGTTGCTTTTTTTCAAAACTGCAGGTCAAAAAATAAACTAGTTGGCTAGACATTTCTATCTGAATGAAGTAATCCATGTTTTTGAGGTAACAAATGATAGCTAGAATCTTGAAACATCCTTATACAAGAATTTTCACTCTTATACCCAATGGCACAGCCAGCCCTATGGATTTTGCATTCATGGATTCAATAATTAAGCCTTGATTTTGTCATTTTGTATGAAGGACATCATTTTACTATGTCAATGTATGTAATGGGACTTGAGCATCCACAGATTTGGCTATTTATGGGGAGACCTGGTGGAAACCTAGTGGAAAACAAGATCCATGGTATATTTCATGCTCTTTGATCTCTGCTTCTAAAGTTTATATACACACACCTTGCTCATATTTCCAACTCATTTTTCCCAGAGATTTTAGGAATTTTACAAAGCAGAACTCAGATATTCATTAGTTGTATCATAACTGCTGAAGTGTCCCTCACCATGCTTTGTGATAAAGTGATTATAGTAATCTAACTTGTTGAAGTATAGAGCCATCAGTGTGAGCTATATAGAGAACACACATACAGTTTCTGAGTTGTACACTGTTATTTCATTTAAAGTGAAATGCATGTTGTGTTAGGGCAAATATAAAATTCCCTGTTGATCAACTGATTTCTGCTCTGGGACTTGGAGAAACTATAAAATGTGAGAAATGAAGCAGTGATATTGCAGAGTAGGATGGAAATTCAAGGAAGAAGATGGAGGAAATGATCCATGGTTTAAGAAGTCTCATTCTTTATAGCTAATAAATAAGATGAACTTGAACTCTTACAAAAATGGCAAATAAGATTTACCATGCTCTACTGAAAGCTGATGGAATGGGACCCATGGCTAGAATATAATAGTTGAGAGATATAACATCTTTACAAAGGAATGTAGAGTAGTGTGGTAAATAAGAGATAATTAATTATGAGGCTGGACAGTAGCATTTTAAGTAAGGAGTAATAAGTCAGTGAACTGGAAAACTGGAAATAAAGATAAGAAAAAAAACTGGTAGATACTATAAAAGAGGAAAACAGCAATGAAGCAATCACTGTAAGAATCTGGTATAGACTTCAAGATTAGATTGAAGAATTGTATAATGCCTTCAGTTGAAGCTTCTCCAATTCTAGGCACCAAATTTAATTTTACAGTTCTACAGTAATTATGCATTTGCAAGAAAAAGATCTTTCCCTGGAAATTGAACAGAACAATTAAAAGGAACAATAAAAAATTGAGTTGTAATGCAATTTATACTATTGTACTTAAGCAGTGCAAGTTCACATTTTACAGAGCTCAAAAGAGGTTTCATATCATTCAGAATTCTGGATTCATAACGGGGACATGGATTCTTGGCATTTTACAATCTTAATAAAGACAGAGAAGCTAACTTCAGAATAGGATTCAAGCTCTGATTCTTTATCTAGTGAGCCAGAGTATCATGTTTAGCACAAACATTTCACTACCTAGTTCACGTGTCACTGTTAATGTATCAGGATGTGAATTACAATTACAGATGGAGGTGAATGTTGGGATCAATAACCCTGATACAAAAATGCACTTTGGTATGCACTGAAGCAGTAAGCCACTTCTATTAAAACTTCTTACTAGTTACAATCTAGTAATATGTGGAAACATGATTTGGGTCCAAAAAGAAGAAACGAAATGGCTAAAATTGGTCATGGTTTTTTCCTATGTCTCACTGGAAACTCATAATTAATACACAGTTTGCAATCTTGCATATCGCAAGCTCTTGCACAGTGTAGGCACACCTGGGAAAGGTTACTCATGTAGACCATGAAAGGAATATAAATAATGGATTTTTGTAGGTTTTTTGGGCTGTATGGTCATTTTCTAGAAGCATTCTCTCCTGACGTTTTGCCTGCATCTGTGGCAGGTATCCTCAGAGGTTGTGAGGTCTGTTGGAAACTAGTAAAAGTTGAAAACACCTGGAGAGAGGGTTGAAGTTGGCCCATGCCTGTTGTAAAGTATATTGATTGTTCACAAGGGGAGGCACCCTGTGTCCCAAAGCCCTTTCCTCACATCTGTTCTGGTTGGCAAAGGATGTGATTTCCCAACTGGCCCTTCTGCTCCACTTGCTGTGAGCCTTTGGCTAGAATATAAAGCTTGGCACATGTAGGGAACAGAACCTAGGTTATTTAAGATCAATTAATCACCTTACAATCCCTCCTTGCCTCCAACCCACCCTTCCATCCTCAGTATAGTGTGAGCTGCGCTGGTTGCTGCATAGCTGAGCAGAATTTTTTTCCCTTTTACATTGTTGGGTTTTTTTGGGGGGGGGGATCTTCGCATAATTATCTCTGTGACTTGGAAATTTGGTGATGTTGTTAAATAAGGAAAAACAAAGAAACAGTGGGGGGGGGGAGGGGAAGAGAGATATCAAAATCCAGTGTTTACCTTGGCACCCCTTTGTGCTGAACAGTAGGACTCTGGGACAACTTCTTTTTTTTATTTTGACATTGCTCTTTCTTAATATGACTGACATAGACACCAGCTTTGCAGGAGGTACTGTGAAACAGGGCACTCATAGCAGGACACAGCGGCATCTCTTCTTTGGCTCCGGAGGCTCCAGGGAGGCCAGAATCACCTCGTCAAATACATTCTTGAGGCCTTTCTGCATGAGGGCGGAGCATTCCACATAATCTGGGACAACTTCTTGAAGTCTTGGAATCAGTGAGGTTATGAAAAAGTTCTTAGGACTAACCTGGGGGGATTGCTTCCCCTGCTTCTTGTAAAGTCCAATACCCCAACAATAACATATACTGATTTGAAATTAGCACAATAATGATAAATTGTGAGTTAATGATTTCTAAATATAGCCTTATTTTACACTATATTTGACTTAATTAGATCAACAGATGAATATGACTAAATCTCAAAAGACCATATTATAGTCATTTTCACCTCTTTATCATATTTATTTTGATGCTATCTAGTTTTTAGTTCTGTTTTCGAGGATATAGGATGGAAGTTATTCTTGATTTATTGTGGCTTTCCTGTGGCTGCTTTGCATTTTTAGATTTTCACGTTTTTTTTTTATTAGACAAAAAAGAGAATAAAAGAAAAAGAAATAAATATTCCAGGTTCCATCAAAAGGCTTGCCAATAGATACAAAGACAAATACTTCAAAACACATTGCAGGAAAAAATTATATTAAAGATTCCTTAAACTATTTTATAAGTATACATTAGAGATTGAGAGAAAGTGTCATAGATTAACTGAAGAGCTCAGTTTTTGCTGTTGTTATTACAAATAGCTCTTTAATTTGTTATACTGAGCAAAACTTGTGAACCAAAAAGTTTTGCTTCATTATTTTTTATTATACAGTCATAAATATTGAGAGACATTCACCAACCTTTGTTACAAAGTAAAATAGGACTGCGATTCATGGTAGAATCATACAAACAGGTTTTGACTCAAGCGGTTTTATATCTCATCTATGGGCCCTTGACTACTCCAGTGCACATGCACTTTTTAAAAGCCTGAAATAGATGTTAGGGCTGTCAAAAAATGGAACCATGAAAGCACAGGTGGCTAAGGGGAAGCAGAATTGGACAGCATTACAACTCTCTCCAGCCATTCATTTATTTCAGTGGTTCCCAGCCTTTTTTTTGATCAGGGACCACTTGACCAGGGACCATTCTTTAACGAATCTGTTTTTGGTCAACTTTAGATTCAGTCTGGTTATTTCGGGTGCTGATTCAGAAAACTGCATTGGATAGACCACATCAGTTTTTGTTTCTCATACAGAATGTGTGCCACCCAGTAGCTGCCATCTACGCACCCACAGAAACAATATTTAACAATCCAGAGCTGATGTAGTAGTATTAATCTTTCATGGGTACTCAGCCTCTCCTCTCCTGTTATCTCTGTTGCCTCAGCACTATAAGAAGGTTTTGTGAGACCAGTTGCTCTGGTTGTACATGGTTTTGAGGCAACGGTGTAGTAATTGTGAGGTCGTGGACCACATTTTTGTTCTCGTGGACCACTGGTGGTCCACGAACCACATGCTGGGAACCACTGCTTTATTTGGATTTTTATAATATTAAGCAGAGCTTGAATTAACAGTTGGGTGAAGAGAGAGAATATGTGGATCTCTGCATGTGTGCAGATGAGGCTCAGTACATACTGGAGATTTTTTTTAAAAAAAAAACTTCCACCAGATGTCCCCCAGCTGCCCTCCCTCTTGATCTGCCTGAAAGGAAGAAGTGAGGATGGTGGGGAAGCATTTCCTGGGACTGACAGGTCTGTGTGTGGACCTTCTGTCCTAGACTTTTTTGCCCCCATTTTAAAACCTGCAATTTGTCGCTGTCTACAAGTGCTCTAAATTGATCATTTCACCCAGTTTGAAGATAGCTTCAAACTGTGGCAGCCAAATAAAATCTTCCACAAAAGAAATCCCTGAATGCACATCCATTCTCTGTGGTTTGTCTCCTTACCATCTGGGCCTCTAACTGGTTCCAGGATTTCCTATGTAATCCTCTACACAGCAAAACCACTTTCTTCAATAATGATTTGAAATGGCACAAAATGGTCAGTGCATGCGGTCCAAAAGAGATAAATCATTTTTCAATAAGAAGGGGGAGTCCTTATATACCTCCTCCAGAAACTGTAACATACTACAAGATGTTTCAGACATTGACTTTTAAGCTGCTTTGGATAGTTGTGTGCGTGCACACACACTCACATGTATATACACACATATAGTAATTTGATACGTTTAGCTTGGTGCCTATCTAGCCATCGTCTTGGTAAACTCAGGCATCATGTAACCACCATTTGTCCCTGCAGCAATACAGTTTGGGTAGCGGAAAGTGCTGATTTCCATGTATGGTGCTACTGTCCCATAAGCTAA